TGGGCGAAATCCTCGGCCCTCCCCTCCAGGGGATCCCCCCCCCTCAATTGAAGGAGGGAGCGGGTCACCCTGAAGAGGGCGGCCGGGCGACTATCTGATGACGCGATGAGTGAGGAATAGTAGTTAGTCCTAGCCACTCTCATCGCCACTAGGTAGGATCTAACATGTGTCCTTACCTGTGTTCGAGCGGATTCGGTTCAGCTGGCCCTCCAACGGCTCTCTAGGCGTCTTTTCCGGCGTTTCATCTCTCTCAGCTCCCCGGTAAACCAGGGAGCCAGTCGAGATCTAGGCCGGGTCAGAGGCCGCAAGGGCACGACTCGGTCTAATGCAGCGGCGGCAGTTGTCTCCCAAGCCGCCGCCTGATTACAAGATATGTAAATAGCCACCTACTCTGCTCCTCATACCAAGGAAGGTTAAAACCTAGGCTTATTCTTTCAGATTTTCATCTAAACTGTGCTTGCTGTTGTTTTTAATCTGTACAATTTATCATAAAGTCCTTAGCAACTATGAAGAAGTGGATGATAATAATAAGGATGCAAACTGTGCACGGAGTATCTGCCTTTCTTGTCAGAGTTCTCTAATTCACAGTTTCTTTTGTTACACTGGACAGAGATATGCATATTCATGAGAAAGAAGCATCTCAGCCTCTCCTTCCCTTCTCTTGGCAGTAACCCTAGACTTTACCCATGCTTTAATGATAATTTCATTTATCAAGTCTTGACAGATCCTAATTTACCTATGCAATCCAGGATCCATCCAACCGTCCCATCCCCTCCACAAGCCAAAATACGAAAGTCTGGGGCATCACGGAAAAAATTTAATCTAAGAAAAAATAGAGGGCAAAAAAACAAAGTAGTTTAGAAATGGTTGATTCTTGTACAATAAGAAAAATGCCACATTCTCCCACAACCTTTCAAGTGCATCCTGGAATTTATAATCTGAAATATATGGAGAATATAATACTGGGAAGGTCTGACTTAGATGGTTATTTTTCATATTCTACAATAATATACAGAAGTGAACATACAAAAAAGCATGTTAGTTGTGCTGTTCTTCAGGATTAAAATATAAGGCGATATTTTGCTATTCTCAAGTGAATAGATGAATGATTAAGTACAATCTATTTGACAAAGAAATCATGCAATCTAGAGTCCAAACTACACTTCATGGAGATATGTTTTCTATCTATTCCTGCTCAAAAAAAGTTTCTTAATATCTATGTAAACTTTAGATATAATTCCACTAATTGTCAAGCTATGAAGATCTCTTGCATTAGAACTGCTATGCTGCTGATGCCCTATCCTGTATGCCTCAGTACAAGAGCACCTGGGAGGAGGTAGTAAGTTCCATTGTTCCCACCAAACAACCCAGCGGCAAGAGGAGTAGCTCACCCCCCATTGATGTGTTTGCCCAACAGCTGAAGCAGGAGCTACCAACTGACATGTGGTTTAGAACTCACCAAAAAGAACTGACCATGAGGGATGGGTTAGCATGGAAGGGAGACAAGCTGTATGCAAGTCCTGCAGCGCAGCCATGACACTGAGCAGGCTGGCCATTTTGGGTTCCTAAAGATTCTGCATCTCTCTGTCAGTTCTGGTGGCCAAAAATGAAGAAGTACATTGAGAGTTATGTGAGGAGCTGTGCTATTTGCTCAGCCAGTAAACAACTGCCAGGGTGAAGACCAGGACTGTTGCAGCTGTGGGCTGACCCAGTTAGACTCTGGGAGGAGATAGCTATGGATTTTATGGTGGAGTTGCCAGAGAGTGGGGGAAGCACTGTGATTTGGACTGTAACAGACCTCTTTTCCAAGCAGGCCCACTTCATCACGTGCTCTGGACTCCCCTCAGCTCAGAAACTGGGGCGCTCCTTGTAGGAGATAAAATATATCTATCCACTAAATATCTCAAGTTGAAACAAACTTGCAAGAAACTAGGTCCAAAATACATAGGTCCTTTCCCTATTGTGAAAATTATAAACCCGGTGACAGTAGAGCTCAAGTTGCCTAGGATACTGTAGCCTACTGAAGCCATTTCAAGGGTCTACTATGAGGCCAGTGGGAAAAGCAGCCCCGGCGCCCATAATGGTGGGAGGAGAAACACATTATGAAGTCAAACAGATTCCGGACTTCAGAATTCACAGAGGGAGGTGGCAGTATCTAATACAAGGGGAGGGCTATCCGATGTCAGGAGCTAGATGGATAAAAGCTCACAACGTAAGAGCAGATCGCTTAGTGAAGCGATTCCACACTAAATACCCCTGGAAGCCGGGGCCAGGGCAAGAGAAAGTTAACAAATAATAATGTGTATTCATTTTGTTTTCCAGGTTTCCCCAACTCTGTAGGGGGCCAGCCTGTCAAGCTATGAAGATCCCTTGCATTAGAACTGCCATGCTGTTTCTAGCTTGCCTACAGCCTGGGGAGAGGGCGGGGCAGAAGGTTTGGAGTGCACAGGCGGTTGCTATCAGTGTGAGAGTCAAGGTGATCGAAGAGATGTTTTGGCAATAGAGGTTTTCTTCTTATAACAAACGTTTGAAGACTAATTGGACAATGTGACCTGAACTGTTAGAGAGAGGAGGGAAGGTTTTACTCTTTTAATTAACTTTTTCCTGCAATATTGTCAGAATATTCTTTTTACCATACTGGTATGCTATGCCTAATAAAGCTTTACATTAGAGATCGCAATGTCTCTGGTGGATCTACTTTGTTGGGCTTTTCAACCGGAACCATGACACGAATAGCAATGCAGTAAATAACCTCAGCTGCAAATAACATTTGCTGCATTGATCCTTTGTATTGCAATGAAACATCCACATATATTCTTTCATGAATGGATAGAGACCCAGTTGGCTCAATAACACAAATATAGCAAATATAATACAATACAGCAGATACATACTTTAAAGGGCCAACAGTCAGATGAGATTCTCAATCTAAGGCATATTTGTGTAGGGAAGGAGGAGGAAGTAAGTAAGGGAAATTGAACTGAGGAAAGACAGCAAAGAGGAAAAAGAAGTGAAGTGATAAGAATAGATCAGAGACAACATAAAGAAAGCAAGTAATAGTAAGAAGGAGGACCAAAGATTTCTAAATATGACAAACAAACAAACATGTAAAATAGGCCACATTTTGAACTTCAGTACCCAGGATTAGGTCCTCCACGATCCAGGTTGTAAACTTGTCTGGGATTGAGTATGTAATGGAATTTCCTATGTACCCTAAAAGTAAGAAAAATAAGAGTCAACAGCTGTAAAAAGGAGAGTCAAGGCAAATTATTATTTTTACGCTCTGTCAGCTTTCTTCACTCTCTCTGCTTTTTTCAGCACCTAAAGCATTGCTAGGGGAGAACCAGTGCAGGGATCCCCAACCCCCGGTCTGTGGACCAGTACTGGGCCACGGCATGACAGCAACCGGTCTGCACAAACAAGCAAAGCCCCATCCACCGGATGGAGGCAGCACACAAAACCACGCATCCTCTGGTCTGTGAAAAAACCTCCATAGAACCAGTCCCTGGGACCTCTGATCTAGTGGTTAAGGCACCAGGCTAGAAAGAGGGAAACTGTGAGTTCAAGTTCAAGTCCCACCTTAGCCATGAAAGTCGGCTGGGTGACTTTGGCCCAGTCACTCGCTTTAAGCCCAACTCACCTCAAAGGGTTGTTGTTATGGGGAAAATAAGAGGAGGAAGGTGTTGGATATGTTTACCACCTTGAGTTATTTGCAAAAATAATAAAGATATAAATAAATAAATTGCAAATGCTGTTTGCCAAGAGCAGAAACTTCTTTGATTGCCATTATATTTTTCCAAAGTCAGTGAAATTTTCCCTAATGTTTTAAGTACATACATAAGGTGGGACTCTGGAAGTCCTTAGTAAACATATTCAAAATATTCAAAAAAAATTAGTCTTGTTTCCATCATGTCTACATCAGAATCTCATCCCTTGATTAGCAGTTGCAAAGGAGCAAAGTTCCCATTTGTCCCAATTGGAGCTTTGTTCATATTATGGAATGTTGATACACCCCTCTTTTTGTAGGAGGACAACATATTAAAACATAGTTTTTTTATCAGGGCCTCCTGCCTTTCTCCATTGCTGAGCTGAAGAGCTTTCCAGCTTGATTCGAATCAGCAGAAACCTAAATTGGCATGAAATTTACAGTCCCTCTTGCTGATCTCCATGTATCTCCTTTCCTAGTCACTACAATTATCTGATTTACCTTCAAGGTGGCAAAACCTAAAAGACTTTGAGAGTTTCCTTGGGGAAGTTTGAATAAGAGGAAAAACATACTATAATAATGTTGGTACTGCCATGGACAACTTAAGACCATTTAATTTAAAGGCTGGGACCAGATGGCAACGTCATAAGAAAATTTCAGGGACAAATGTATTTATTAATTGGACTTATATTCAATTTTTCCACCGAGATCAAGGTGGCATACATAATATCCCTGCCTCTATTTCTTCCCTTCCTAATAACAGCAACATGGTCAGATAGGGTTGGCTAAGAGAGCAAATGGGCCCTTCTGGCTGAAAGTAGACGAATCTGGGTATTCCCGCTATTAGTCCAATTATAACCAGTACATCATACTGGTCAGGGAATCTTTGCACCCTTGGGAGTTGCAAATGGAGAAAGGCTTAAATATTCCACATATACTATTTTGGAGTGAAATAACTTTTCAGGAACTTTACATGACATTTATCTTCCTCAGCCTTCAGAATACCTTGGAATAGATCATTATCATGTAAGAAGTCCTTGCTATGGTCTTACTTTATTTGATTCATAAATAAATTCCAGTCCTCCTTACTTACTAAGCAAAGGAGTGGTGTTTTCATGGGACTAACAAGCAATTCAAAGAAAACTAGGGAAATTACTAGGCCATCATTGATTTGATCATATTGAATAGATAAGATTTAGTAGATAAAGTGGAAGAGATTTATTAAAATGAATTAATACTGAATACACCCATACATTGGACTTCATTAACTCAACATTTTTGGCAACATAAACACTGTCCAGCATGGTCCTCCCAGAAAATTCTTGCCTTGTTATTCCTGCATTGTTTTGCTGACCACTTTTTTTCTTCTAATAGTGGAAGAGAACACCAGAGCATCAGTTATACTTAATTTGAGACTAACTACATTAATTAAGTTGAGGAAGTGGAAGTAAGCAAGAACATGGGAGAAAATGACTATGTAATAGAGGCATTCTTGATTTTAATGGAAACTGAAATGAATTTTAATAAATTCAACCAATGAAAAGTAGGATTCTGTGGCAGAAAACACGAAAGACAAAATTATTCAAAGATTGGATTGGAATTCTTAAAACAACAGTAACTAAAAACAGGATTCCCTCCCCTCCAAAAAAAAATTAAAAGGAAAAAAAGTGGAACACAGCAAAAGAAGTCTACTTGGCTGCACAAACAAAGAAACAAAAAACAATCTTTAGGGAAAATCTGTAAATAAAAGAATCGTGTAAAAGAAAAAGGGGGGACAGTCACTAAGGAAGAATACATGCCAGTAAGTCTGATTTATAGAGATGGTACCAACAAAGCTATGAACAGAATCCATTGAGGTTAGGAAAGGAGGTTATGAAGTCATAGAAGAGGGACTTGAGAAAAGATGAAATGAGGCAATGGGGAAAGCATGATAATGCTTTTAAATTTACAGAAAAAAAATGAAGATTTGTTTTCTGGCAATGTGTACAACGGGAAAACATAGTCTTTAATTATATAAAAGTAGATTCCACTTGAGTGTTTGTAAAAAATCTTTGTAACAAGAAGGGCAGATTGTCAATGGAATCAATTAGCAAGAAAGATAGTATGCTCCCCTTTACTGGATTTGTTCAAGTAGTGGCTTGGTGGCCACCTATTTTGGATACTTCCATTTTCTTTTGAGCAGGAAATTGTACTTAATGGCTCCTTCCAGTTTTACAATTCTGTAGTTCCAAGTGATGTTAAACTACAACTTCCAATAATCTCAGCCAGCATGATCAACCATTTAGACAACTATCAATTCTTTACCAACATTCTACACTGACTGGCAGCAGGTCTCCAGAGTTCCACTCTGGAGTTTTGTCTTACCATTATCTGAAAATGAAAATTATTTAACTTGGACCCTTCTGCATTCAAAATTAATATTCTGGTGCTCAGCTATAGCAGTTTCCTGCTTTAGGGCATTCACAGAAGCTTATAGCACTTAGCAATAGCACTTAGACTTTTATACCACCCCATAGTGCTTTACAGCACTCTATGGGCGATTTACAACATTAGTATATTGCCCCTAATAATCTGGGTCCTCCTTTTACCATCCTCTGAAAGCTGGAAGGCTCAATCAACCTTGAGCCCCATCAAGATCCAACTCTAGGCTGTGGGCAGTTTGCCTGCAATACTGCATTCTGACCACTGAGCCACCAGGACTCCATGTAAGAGCTTTTGCACGTGTAACAGTAATGATAAAAATACCTGGAATCGCAACTACATTTTATAAGGAACATTATAGTTTGAATATAAGGGGAAATCTGCTATAAAACATTTGCTTGAGGAAGATTTATTTGTCTGCAACAATTTATTGATGCACTTATTGTATCACAATATTAAATCTTGGAAATGTACAATTTTCCAAAAGAAGGGGGAAACATACCTTTCTCCTTGCCTTCCTCCACTCTTGGGGTTCACAAATACCAGCAATGGGTGTGTCCCTAGCATAGGCGTGATCTGAAAACCAAAGTATATATCAAACAAGCAGACTCCTTGCACAATATACAAACACTGTGCAGAAAGGAGAACTAAGTGATGTGGCCGAGTTATATGTGAAGCAAAACAACTAACTAGAAAGATGTTGGATAAATAGGATTTAGTGCCACGGAGAAACATTAGGATCCTCCAAACTGTGCTATTCTTTGCACCTTTTCTTCATATTGTCTTGCTATACACTGGGTCACATATTGTATATTGGACAAAGAATAATAAATGGATATCTTTACTTAGGAGGCTTGTCACCTCCTGTGCCTTTTTGATACACATCAAGTGACTGCATTCTTAAGGGCATGACAGATATTAGCCCAATCAAACATTTGCAAGCACTGATTCTATATCATTATAACCTTTTTGAAAGAGAAGTCATGCTGAATTCTAAATTAAAGGGGATGGATATACTGCTATTAACACATGCACAGTTTAACATAGCTAGAATTCCTGGAGTGGGGCAAGGGCTTCCATTAGGCAGATTGAGGCATGTACCTCAAAAAACAGATGCTGAAAGATGTTAGAAAAAAAAAGCAATATGACATGTAGTTTTCCTTCTGTCTCTTAACCAGTGTTTCTCAATCTCAGCAACTTTAAGATACGTGGACTTCAAATCCCAGAACTCCCCAATCATGCTTGATGGTGAATTCTCAGAACTGAAGTTCACTCATCTTAAGAACGCTAAAGTTGAGAAACATGGATGTAAACTATCAAATTGCCTTCAGGAATGCAAAAAATACTGTCCCAATGTTATTACAAAGAAAAATGCAACTTCCAGTTTATTTAACTTTGTATATGGAACTGGAGAAGGGAATGATGGCTTGTTATTATTTTTTCTGGCCATAAAATGCTTTGGGACTATCTAGTTTCAAAGTGGTTTATAAGCTGCCTATATCGACATTGTATTCCACTATATCTTTCTCCAAAGTGGCCCACTATTGGTCACAATGATGAAAGTGCTTCTCCATGGGTACATACAACTATACATGTACAAGGGAGAAAAGATGCTATCAGCTACCCACCTGCAGTCCATGTCCATCCACTGTAGTAGTATTGTATCTGAAGATCATGTTTGTATCCTCGGGGGTGGTGCTGGATGGTGATTCACTCTCTGATCTTCGTGAGTGGGATTGCCTATCCTTTTGAAGAATCAAAGATGCATAGGACATTTAAAAATAGATAGCAAAGAGGTACTAATGACATAAACAGAGAGGAGATTACGGAATTCTAAGTATAAAAATATATAATAGGACCACAAAAGACTAGGGATATTGTAATAACACATGGATACTAAAATACTGCCTATCAAACAGTACAAAACTTATCATTTGGTAAAGGACATGCATTTTATAAATTCCAAATGATCTTGGATAGCCTAGCAATTTTCTTACAAATTATAATTAAGTTCTGAAAATATCACCCCAAAAGTAGCTTCTGCCTAGCAATAGCCACAAAATTCCCACAAACAAGATTTAATTGAGGCATAATGCCTCTGATCTTGGAGAAGGCATAAAACCATAATGATTAGTAACTATGGAAAGACTTCCATTGAATTATATAATCTTATTATCCATTTTCTCTTTAGAATCATTCTGTACATCATGGTCCCTTTTACTGGCCTTTTCTCTAATATTTCCAAATTAAGAGAATTGCTTCAGCTCTTCATTCATTTTGATTTTTTTTTAACATTCATGTGACTTTCTTTCACTAATGTACAGTTAGTGGGCCCTGGTTAGTCTTACTCTACACCTATATGCCCTCTGCTTCAGAGGAAGCAGTCCTCTGTTATATAACATATATAAATGTTCCATATTGGTTTATATATTTACAGTTTCTCCTCATAAGGAGGGACTCTTTGTAAAACATATTATTTAATGTATTCTGCATGGTTTGATACATTCAACAGTTTGTCCATTTTTTATATTTAAATTCTGATATATGTTGTTTGACATGTAATAATTTTTATTTAATGCATTTAAGAATTTTGTTCATTAGTCATAGTCACATACATTAGACAGACAGAAAACTCTAAGTCAAAAATCCAGAAACCTCCCTGCATTGCATAATGACATGATTGCATAATAATTAAATTTGGGCCTTGAAATTAGACGAAAACAGATGCAAGCTTTAACATAGATTTATTCCATTTAAAAATCAAAGAAGATTAATCCATAACATCTCCCCTTCCCACTGCCAGTCCTATTTGTGACATCCATGTATGCCCTGGGAACTATCAGTGTAGTTATTATGAGAACCTTAGTGCACTTTTCCCAGCTTGAGACCACAGTGGACAAGATTGTGGGGAACTATTGTCCAATACAGAGGGTATTACAAAGGAATACCAGGTTTGTAATGGTATAGGAATCTAATTAACCAAATCAGTTTGGATAAAGCCATTTGGATCATGAGACTATATTATCCAGTTGCCTTAAGTGAGACAGAACCAACAAGAAAATACCATTCATTAAACCAGTTTGATATGTGCCAAGCAGACTCATTTACCAGAACAACTGGGCAGATCTGGGAAGGCAGCAAGATGTGGTCTTTGAGATGCCCACCATCACATTCAGGTTTCACGTGTGAGGCACATTTGTTGTGAAGCTTTAAGAAGAGAGAAAACAGCATGTACCAATTTTTATTTTCCTGCTTCCATCCATATCCATCTGATCCTCTAAATGTTTCCTTTACTTGTGATCAAGAAATCAGATTAGCAAAGCATCTGATGTTTCTTTGATAAGATGGCTTTTAGTCTCCAGCACTGCAGAAAAGCCATTGCTTTCTATTTGGGAGAGTTAATTCCTTAAGGAGAAAATATCACAAGAAAATAATGCTTCTTTTTGTACCAAAATGGAGAGGGGAAAATATGCTGATGATACAGTTATATATCTCTAGCCCTGACTTGGCAGGTATTATGGTGCTGACCAAATGTCTGGAAGCTGTGTGGCTCTAGATGGGGAAAAACTCATGGCCCAAACCTGGCAAGATGGAGAGGTTTTATGTTCTTGGTTCCTTCGGGATCTGCTGGTTTATCATCATATTGATTAAAAAGACTCTGGAAAGGGTCACACTTCCTCAGATGAGATTTTCCTGGAATCATGGTTCCAGCTCAGGAGGACTTTCGCATGTTGTGCACCAACTGTGCCCTTTTCTGGACTGGAAGACCTTGCTCATGGTCAATGCATTTTACATGGGCTGGCCTTTAAGATCACTTGGAAACTACAACTGTCCAGCAATGTACCCTCCTCTATCATATTAAAAATTACAATTTGCTGCTAACGTTTTAAGAGAAGCTTTGGAGGTAATGTTCAGGGATCAGGAGTATATATAGCCTATATGCCTCAGGTTATGATTTTCTGTAGTAAATAGCTTGTAACTCTGTGAAATTGTTGCTGTTTCTTCAAAGAACTGCTCTGAGTTCTTTGGAAAAGGAGACGAGCTTAAATTAAAACATTAATAAAATCAGTAAATCATTTTTTGAACAGCTTTGTTCTTCTTGCTTTAATATCTGCAGGCCTGGTAAACTGTTGTACCTGTCACTGCACTTAAGAGGCATGTAGTACCATTCACCACCCATAACAATAACAATGAAATGTCACCAAATATAAAAAAGTAATACATCCTACGAGCTTTATTTTTGTGCCACAAAGGTGCTTACAATAGTTCACAATAGTTGCAAAGTGGGTAATATATCATTGTTATCATCCAATGCTGGAAGTGTTCCTTGAGAAAGCCAAATTTGAAGCCTTTTAAAAATACATTTTGGATCTTCCTTTTCATCTTCCTTTTATATGTCAGAATCAGGGTTATAAAAGAGATGATGGATAGTGGCATGAACTGCTGAGCTACAATATTTTTAGCATTTACAGTTTCTCCATAATTTACTGGATGATGGCTAATTTTGGGATTAGGAGGGGAAACTAGTATGGGAAGATAAATCTTTATTTCTTAAAACATGCCACAAAAATATTAACTTAAATGTGTAAAAATCTCTCTTGACTAAAATAGATTTCCATAATCTTTGATTAAAAATAAAAAGACAACATTCTTTTCACGTACTCACTGTGATTTGGCACCATACACAATGTAGTCCGGTAATTCCCTGGTAGCATTTGATGCTTTTATGACACCGATCACACTTGGCTGGAGAATTGCCCTCAATCCATGTATGCTGCATAACCTAGAAAAGCAAAATTGTTCAAATAGCTTGGTAGAAAGGGAGGATAGTGCAAATTTAGGGAAGTTCCTAGTCCCCATCTTCAGTTTAGGGAATAGTTTTCTCTGATTATCGGGTATTTCTATACATTTATATTAGAGCCCTGGTTACACAATGGTTAGAATGCAGTATTACAGACAAACTCTGCCCATAACCTGGAGTTCAATCCTGATAGGACTCAAGGTTGATTCAGCCTTCCATCCTTCAGAGGTCAGTAAAATGAGAATCCAGATTGTTGGGACAATATGTTGTCACTATAAACAGCCCAGAGGGCTATGGAGCTGTATATAAGCCTAAATGCTTTTGATCTATCTATACATTTATGAAAACATAAATGGTTGTAGGCAAATAGCTTAACTATCAGCCTTACCAGGTAGACCAGACAGGAAACATGATCAGATAAACTAATTTTATTTTACTGTAAAGCTATGTTAATAGAATTTTGTAAGAGTGAAAATACAGTTTTCCTGATATCATCTTTGGAGCCTGAGAACTTATGGAGAGGCCCTTCTGAGCCTTATGCTCTGCTCAGTCTTTCCCACTCACCATTACATTATAACTTATAATGTGCATATCTTTGAAAGCAACTCTTAAGCAGTATTGTATACCCATAGGCATACATTGTAAACAATTGCGTGTCTCTGAAGCCTCAGTGTTTGATTCAAAACCCAAGTTTCAATTTGGCTCCTGTACTAACTGCAACTTAACTTTTTTTGGTTTGCAACAGAGAGCATACTGTTTGAATCTTAACACGGTTACAATTTCAGCACAGTTTTCATTTCTCTAGTAGTACTTATTAGTACTGTTGGTGTATTATTTATCTAGTGTACCTAGTAATACTGTTGAAGTAGTTAATTGAGTTTGGTTGATATTGTAAATGATGTAATTGATAGAGAACAATGTTATAATTTAGATTTCAGTTTTGAAAACAGAGAAATTTCTTGCAAGGGATTCACCCTGTGCTGTTTTACTGCTAGGCAAAGCTTACCGAAGATGAGAAGATCTGGAAGGCAGTATTTTTGTGGACCTACTTTATATTAAATGCATATACTGACTTTCACTAAATACAACATTTAAGGCAACAAGATTTAAACGGAGTCAAAAGAAACACTTATCACTTTGCAAACAAAAATTAAGCCCAAGTTTATCTGCAAATCCTTCCCCAAATATAAAGTCCTTTGATATATTATATCAAAATCACAGCAGTGAATTGGCCTCTTTTAGTAAAATAGCGTTACTATGACAGTATGGACTGCATGTTCTGCATACAGATGGCTTAGAATTCATGACAGATGATTAATTAGTGGACACATAGCACTGATCTTCCACATATGCCTCACTTACATTTGTATTTCTCTTGGATTTTACATAAGTACTGATGCAAGGAGCAATATCTTTGGACACACATCTTTCATGGACAGTATATTTACAAACTGTAGAAAGGAAAGAAAAAAGAGAGAGCCATTCTAAATTACTGCATTGAGGGCAATTTCCAGCTACTTCTAGAATTTGGCTGTTAGAATATATTATTCCATGTATGCAATTGTATATACAATTCTTGAAAAAATCCTAAATGAGTAAACTGTTGTCATAATCCATGATAGTAGATTCACCATTGAGATGGTATTGATCACACTTGTGGATAATGTCTGGCTGGCTAGGGACAGAGGTGGTGCATTTGTCCTAGCCCTCCTTAAACTTTCAGCAAGTTTTAATACCATCACTTATGATATTTATTTATTTATTTATTTATTAATTTAATTTATACCCCGCCCTTCTCTTCATGGGACTCAGGGCGGCTAACAGCCTCATAAAAACTACAATACAAATACAATAATTAAAAGCCGAATTAAAAAGAAATATTTAAACAGGCCGATCATTAAAATTATCCTTAAAAATCCCCTAAAAAACCCCGCTGAACTGACTTAGGGGTCTGGAAACAATACTGTGGTGGTTCTCCTTCCTTTTTCAAGTGCAATTACAGAAGGAGAGATTGAGGCCTAAACGTTTGTGTTGTGGGTTGCCTCAAGATGTGACTCTTTTACCCCTCATGATTAACATCTACCTGGTGTTTTGTGAGGTCATTTATCAGCACGGGGTTTACAATCAACATGTTTATATGTTATTTTCTGAACCTCAGTTTCCCATAAGTTAAAATTTGAAAGTAATGTATTAACAGTTGCCATCTTTATTCATTTACTGTAAATTATGTTCTACTGAATCCAGTGAAACTTCTCATTAGCCATCTATCCTACCTTAATATTTTAAACTCTTGTCCTAAGGTTGGCCTCCAAGCTTTCTTTAGATGGCAACTGAGGACATGCCTCTTTCACCTAGGCTTTTGTAAAATAATCTATTTCAGTAAAATACTGTTGTTTGATTGCCTCTTATAATATTTTTCCTTTTAAAAATGAACTTTTTTAGTCTTTGGGACTGTTCAGTACTATGGACACAATACTAATGAATTTCTTCAATGCAAAAGAACAGCTGTGGCAATAGGAAGCTGTTAAAGCGCATAATGTTCAGCTTTTTAAGTAGATCCATCCAAATTCTAGAAAAGTATTCTCTCTTGAGTTGCTACTTTGGTTGTCTTGAAAGTGGATTATCTGGTATCTGGTTCTATAATACAAATGGCATATAACTGGAAAAATCTCAAGCTTCCCTTGAGAAAGGAACCTGCTGGAAATGTTGAAGCCTAACTATCTTTGTTTTAAGATTAAACAGAAACTAAATCAATAAACCCTTTCCCCATCTTTTGGGGAGATTTTGACATGACTCTTCCCAACTGATATGCAGGTAACCTCACTAGCCATGATTACGGTGCATCTGTAGAGACTTACAGGAACAGCACAAGCCTTGCTTCCTAACTCCCAGTAACATAGTGCGGCAAAAGTTGCAGTAGGCAGGCTTCTTGAAATGTTTCAACCTCCAAGCATGTTGGCCATCATCCTTTATATTCTGTAGGGATTTTTTTTTAAAAAAAGTTCACTTAGCAGAGAAGAATAAGTATGATGGATCTCCAATAACCCACCAATGACCCAGTCACCAAAATATGCACCTTGCACAATCAATATTATCTCTTCATAATGTAAACTAATAATGTCAGAACTACAGAACTATAGAAAACATTCATCAGCTTTTCTCACACAAACACTCTTGAACTTAATTGGCATGTCAATGACCTGTAAATAGTTATTTGAATTAACCTATGTTATAGTCTTGCTAGCTTCTCTTTATTTTTTGAAGAGCAGCTACAGAATTTTTTAAAATTAAACTTTTACTACCATGCAAGAAAATAATCTAAGACTCATGATAAATAATAACCTAGAGAATACATTAACCTATCTTGACTTGATCTTCTCCTGATATGCTACAGTACATTTCTATCATCTCCAAACAATAACTATTTTGATTGGATATTCAATCTGATTATAGTGGGTAAGTCAATCAAAACAGCCATAGTCCAATGTTTTTGTCTATCATTTTGGGGAAATTGATCTACATTTATCATGTAGTCAAAAGACAAAGATTGAATATTCTAATGGATTATAACTTGGATTTCTAAAAATATAAATATGTTGTTTTTCTCAGCAATTAGTATAGAATGATATAATTATCTTTAATGGATGATAGACTTTCTTTTGGGGGGGAGAGGGTGCTACCAGCATCTCTGATAGATATAAAACATGGATGGGTGTCCTATCAATAGTAGCACCTCTATTTTATTTATTTATTTAATGCATGGTATCTATCGAGGTCATGCAGTCACTAATATATAGATTTAGTTTAAATAAAGCATCAGCAAATGTGTGTGTGTGTGTGTGTATGTGTATACAATATAATATAGGAGTTAAAATATTAAATTCAAATAAAACCATAACAAAATCACCATAATATGGAGCCATAAAATTGCAATGGGATAGATGTTATAATTCGATATCTAAGGAAGCTAACCATTTAACTGCTTCTGGTGTGGCTGGAATGAGATTGCCCCATTCTTGAACTATATGTGTTATAGTTTTATAATTATAAAATTAGGCAGAATCCATTAATTCCAATCAAACAGACAAGTATTGGGGACTGCAGACATTGAATCAGGTCAGTTGTTTCCAAAGGAACAAATGGCCTCTTATCATGTGGCCAGGTAAAATAGGAAGTGACATGCTACCAAAATGTTGAAAGAAAAGAAAAAAGCAACCATCCAGCCTATCCTGAATAGAAAATTTATAAAACACAGAATTCACAATTTTTAAATGGACAGAACTTTATACAGGAATATTACCCCAGGTTTGCTGCTGGATAACAAAATATGCTACTTATCTTCTAAGAAGTAATGTAGTGGATCAGAAAAAAAGGCCTTGCATAGTCTGAGATTATTATCCCACAATAGTCAATAAAGCTTATGGAAATCTCACAAAGAGCACATTAACATCCTCCTACTCATGTTCCTCAGGAACTGACATTCAGAGGCATATTGCCTTTGGTTGTATATAGCTGTAATTACAAGCTAGATGATATAGATGATGACTAATACCCTCCTTTTTAAGAAGTTGTAGAATTATAATTAGAAACTATATTTTCCTATATATATATATTTCAGTCTGTCCTATTGTATTGCTCAAGAAATCAAGAACATCAGATAATCTCTCAAAATCCATCAAATGACCACATTACTGTCTAAAGGTAGGATTCTTAAATCATGAGATTATAGAACTGAAACTGAGCAAATAGCTCCTACTGTTGATGTACCAGACAATGTTTATACCAGGAATTCAAAAGGTTGCTTGTATTGTATGTCAAAAGAATCTAGGCAGAGGGAGGGGAAAATGGATGCCAGTTCCATAGCACCATAACTTAACAATACACAATTAATTAGTACATTATTAGATTTAATTTGAACCTCATTAAATTTATTTATATTGACTTCCTTCACTTTTTAGAAGCTTTGGATAACTGTTGACACAATCCTTGAAAACTGTGTAGACAGTCAAGATGTTCTTAGTGTCTATGGCTAAAAAGGAAGCTGACAATCTGGATTTTGCAATACTTGCACTCTCAGAAGGTCAGAGACTTAAAAGAGTCTAAGAGGCTGTGTATATTCAAGTGAATGTTCATTCAAAGCTCCTCTGATTTACACTGGCACCACACATCATGTGCTTTATCCCTTAGAGATGTATCTTTCTCCCAAACATACATATTATCTGTTGTATATGTTAATTTTTTCTGCCCATGAAAGTAAAAGTTAGATAAATAAATAACTGCCTTACAATGTACAGCATTTCTTAAATCCTCTCCTTATATTCCATCAAGCAATGCAAATGTTAATAAAAATAATTACATATAATGGCAAACTACAATTAGATTATTGGTGAAATAATAATTATCATACTTTACTTTCTGGTAAGCAGATTCTGGTTGATTATATCTAATTTCCTTCAGAAGGTCACATTCTGTACAGCACCTTTTCTCAACTTAATTCCCATAATTGCTTCCAGGGTACAGTTTAAAGTATTGGTGCTAATTTTTAAAATTACAAACAGCTTGAAATCTGATTATCTGAGGGATTTTCTTTCCTATTACAAATCTTTCTAGATGTCTAGTTCTACATAAGATGCCCTTCAGAAGAGGACTTGTTTGTAAAGGCTCATTCAGTATGCAGAAGAAGACCTTTAGTCGCATGGTTTCCAGTTGTAGAATGTCCTCCTTTGGGATTCTATTAGACTCATACTCTTAAATTAATTTTTATTTAATATGCTTTTCCATAGAGTAAAAAAAAAGATAAAAGTAATAGAAAAGTGAAAAAATATAGAAAAAGAAGTAGAAAAGAAGATGAAATAAAGAAAAAGTGGCTTCCGGTCTTCTTAACAGTAGTTATGCACACATTTTTTTCTTGGAAAAAGAGCAGCTGAATGCATATCTTTTGTCAGGCTTTTTTTTTTTACTGTTAAATAATATTTGGTTTGGTTTTAATTTATGGTTTAAGTTTAATTTCTATTTTACATTCTGCATTTTAATTATTGTTAAGTCACATTGCATAATGTGTAGAAAGAAAGGTTATGCAACAAATAAGAACTCTCTCCTATCCTAGGTAAAAGTATTGTTACTCTAGAAACACACCATGTTGGGAAAGTTTGGCTTATTGTTGTGAGATCAGGCCTGTTACTCACTGTTTCCATGCCTAGGAGAACGAGCAGAGGGATGGTAGTCATACCACCCCGAATCCATTCTTCAAGTGTCACAGTTCCATCATGATCATAGTCTATTTCTTCCATCATCTCTTTCAAAATCTGCAGAAGACAAAATCCAGGTATGTGCATCCTATTTTTTTTTCAGTTGCAATTATTTTTATGATAGGAAATGTTCTGTAGGCTTTGAACACTAGCATGGAAAACAAAACTGATTGCAACATTAAGTTAAAGAATCAGGAGCACCAGTGTTTGCATTGTGAATCACAAAGTCTAGGAGCTAGACTTAGCCGTGGAGACAACAACTAGGCAATTTCAGCCTGAATATAATCAGCAGATCTCACAGACTGAGTGCTGTCAGTTGATTCTATTAGCTGACTGAGACATAAAGGTGTCATATGATATTTCCATCCAAGTCAGGTTGTCAATCTGAAGGTTTCATCACATTGCCTTGACTTCTTCAACTTACCCTTATTTTTTGCTTCTTTAGCTTTTTTAAAATCCATGTTTGTTTGCAGCAGGCTTGGATCTGATAATCAGTCCCAAGAGTAATTTAGAGTTCTATGGAATTCTAGTTTTATGGTTAGGTTTTGTTTGTTTGTTTGGTTTGCAGTTCTTCATTACACTTTTTCCAAGTCAGATTTTCTTAAGCCTGCAACTTCTCTTCCTCTGAAACCATAATTATCCTTATTCCTTAAAAGATGTTTTAAGGGAAAAAAAAGAATCTGTGGGTGGTGGATGGCTTAAAAATGCTGTAAAATAAATTTAAAAATAATACTCTTTTTTTTAACTAGTCTTTTTGAGACTTGATTATTACAATATATTTGACAGGCTCAAACTGGCTATTTAGAATTAATGGATGACTCAAGGAATCATTAAAAAGAACAATAACAAATGTTGTAGCATATTAAAAACTAATTGTAGCTTACATTTTTAAGGGCAACAGTTAATTTTAAGATGCCATAAGATTCTGTTTTGGCTGCAACAGACTAAGATAGTAATCTTTCTGGAAATTAAAATAGGGATCATCTTTTATTTATAGTTCAATCTCAGTAATTCAGGACCAATCTGCATAATGATTAAATATAAATAGTATGTAGATACTTTTCTAGATTTTTTTAACTGCTTGTGAGAGCAATCCTGACTGGGCCATGGAGAAGAGATGTTTTATACCATCTTTCCATTTCCCATACAAAAATGCCAGTATTCCACATGGGGGAATTACCCAAAGAAAACGGAAAAAAAAGTCCACATGGGACAGGGCAGATGTTGCTAAACATGTTTCTAGGAGGAAGGTGTAACCTTTTGCATATGATAATCTTAATTAGTAGTGATCCATTGCTATGTTTACTTTGCTGTAAAGGGAAGAAAAAAGGTAGTTATACACTATTTATTGAATATTGTGTATGACTTAACTCTCAGAGGGAAAAAAATGATACTCAAAAGCAGAACAAAGCACTTTTTAAAAATAAATTCCGATTCTACATGGAAAAATAACTTACTGGCCTTAATTCTGTAGAGTCCCATTCCAGATATTCTGCTACATGTACCATTTGATTGATAATACGATCCAGCTCCTGAATTTAGAAACAAGATGGAAGAAGGTAAATGTTTTTAAGACAATGTGAATGATATACTATATGGATATTGCAGTTATATGTATTAGCATGCAAGAAAAAAAATAGGTAAATATCTTTATGAAGGTGAGCCACCTCTTTAAAACAATTATGTCAGATTACTTTTTTATTTTTAAGAATAAACACTTGAAATAGTTTGCAGTAGGGTAAACCCACATTATTGCCTTCCATTTAAATTTTCCACGAGGTAATTGAATTACACTATATCAAGACTGTTTTGGAAAATTTAATCAGTTAACTTTACCAGATCCTGCCAACTTTGAAAAAGACCTGTATAATCCTCTTTATGAAGAATCCCTCAACTTTGAATGATCTTGTTTCCATGCTGTAGCCTAATTGGAGACCAGAGAGAGCCAGATTTCATTGATGTATCCCTCGACCTATGTACTTTGTAGTGGCATCACAGTAGGAAAGCCCCAATGCATTTGGGGAAAAGTGTAGCTTCTTATCCTTTTAAAGAAAAGGACTAGTTTGAAGGATAGCTTACCGAGCTGTCCAGGGAGCCATTGCCATCTGTATCATAGAGGCGAAACATAACTGCAAGAAAACACAAATGTGCAGAGATCTGCAATAAATGTATGTTCCCATCACAAAAGGGCTAATGAGTCAGGTTTTACACTCTACCACTGCCTCAATTTCAAAGTTTGAGCTGACCACATTGAAGTCTCTGCCTTCAGTTAACCCTTTGTATTTGATAATTCACATCAAAATAAATGCATAACCATAAAAAAGAGAAGGAATTCAAAAGAGGGTAAGTAAACATTAGCTGAGCTCTGAAAAAGAGGAGTGAGAAGGAAACTCGAGATTACCCCACAGTTATTTTCTTTGGTGTAACAAAGAGCAGAGGGAAACTTTGACAGGCTTCCAAGATTCGGTTACTGGAGATAGTCCTTGACTTACAACCATTTGTTTAGTAACTGTCTGAAATGACAACAGTGCTGACTGAATAGTGGTTACAATCAGTTAAGAATTCTGGCTGCCACAGCACCTTTCCAGTGACATAATCATATTCTAGAAACTTTGCAATCAGCTTGCGCTTATGAACAGCTTATTGACCCAGTGATCAAGTGATTGCCTTTTGTCACCTTTCCTGCGGCTTCCCTAGAAAATCAATGAGAAAGTCAGCAAAGGTCACAATTCTCTGGGGTAAGTTTCTCCCACCTGCTCAGACTGTGCCAGCCACTTGTACACCTTCCTCAAGCTTTGCACTCTCATGCATCCGCCCTGTTATCATGCTCCCCTTGCAACTTCATGCATCCTTGTGCACACATGCATACTTTCCCTGTCCTTTGCCACACCTCCCTCACACACACTCAACCTTCCCTATGCCTTTGTATCCTAATGCACCCCTGCATTCCTTTGCACATCCTTCCTGAGCTTCACTGCACCTTCCTCACATCTTTTCCACAACCCTCACATCCTTGTACACACCCTTGCACTTCTCCCAATCCTTGCTGTACTTCCTTTGTACCCTTGTACACCCTCCCTTATCCTTACATCTCTTTTGCACCCTCACATATCCTCTCCAAGTCTCACCACCCCTTATTCACACACTCTCCCTGACCCTTACTGCACCTCCTTGCACCCTTGTTCATCCTGCACACTCTCCCTAGATTTTGCCATTCCTCCCTTGAACTTTTGTACATCCTCCACACCCTCCTCCACCTAGCAGCAGCCACTTACCTGTATGCCAACCTGCTTCCAAGCTGCCTGGAACTTTTAACTTCCTGCTGGCTTTCCCACTGACTTGTTTGTGGGAAGCCAGCAGGAAGTTGCCTATTGTAATAACTCTGAGGCTTGGTTAATGATGGCAAAGAGGACTGCAGGGATTGTTGTGCTAAGTGATGCAGTGATGCAGTCTTGCTTTATAACTGCATTGCTTAGCGGCAGAGATTCTGGTCCCAATTGCCATTGTAAGTCGAGGACTACCCTAGCAGCAAAATGTAAGAGGTCTCAAATGTCTTCTCTGAGATGCCCTTTGAATTTACATATCCTGGCCTGCCTTCTTGCTCTAATGTAACTGTTTGATCATTACTGCTGCCACCACACATTTTCCAGGGGGATTGCCTTTATCTAATGTCCTCCCATTGAACCCAGAAGTGTGAAAGAAAGAGAAGCATCACAGCTTATGTGCCTCATTGGCAAAGAGAAAGAGACAAAACATTAACAATTTAAAAATTAAACAAAATTTGTACCACCATTTCCCACTCTTGTACACTCTTGTGATACGAAAATTCAGCCTTCTTTGGGAGGGGACCCATCTTACAAAGTCGAAATTAAAATGAGCAATAGGGGTTTTTTTCAGAAAGAAAAAAATGTAGAAACATTTTATTTAACTTTAGGTAGTCACATGTAAAATCATGGTGAGTAAAATAAAAAGTGCTGGTAAAACCAATTAGCAACTTAAACAAATCCTGCAAGGGTCTAGACTCCAAGGTAGGATCATTCTACTGCTCAGAGATTTTAAGAGGCATCAAGCATGCATGGATAGCTTGCATTGATGGAGTAAACATCAGAGACAATAAATTAGATTTAATTTTAAAAAGAGAAATAAAAATTAATTGCAGGTAATTTAGCTAGTTAGACATTTTTACTTATTCTTCTTATGGTGATTAGTGACTAGAAAAGATTAATCTCTATTTCAATTATTTTGGGATCTCTCCTCCAGATGATCCTGAGGATTCTAGCCAGTTTCTAAGGCTACTTTTTCCTGCCGCAGTTCCAAACTGTTAGTTTCAAGATAAAAAATATTTTCTGTCTAGTGGAAATAAGGGATTTGGAGCTAAATCCTAACACCTGCACATGTGAGCCAGTGCATGCATCTGCCACATTATGTGAATTAAAACCAGATGACTAAATTACTACTTAACAAGTCTGTCCAGCATGTAGCTGGCATTCTGGAATATTTTGGAGGCAGTCTGCATTTACAACAGCTATATTTCTACTTTCTGACTGAACAGAGGTCAGGAAATTAGTTTTTTGCAGTTGTAGTATACATGCATCTATATTCCTTAAGAATTAGTATGAATTGTATTCAGTAAATCAGAGTTGTCTCCAGCCCCTCTTTTATGGCAGTTGGCAGTCTGGTGATGATTTCTGAAAAAGGGAGGGCTGGTTTTTTTGGTTTTCATTTTAAATTAAAAATAAATCAGGCCAGTTTTCCCCAATATGGTGTTGTTACAGTATATGGGGCTTGAAGTACTATAATCGGCACTGAAGATGCTTAACAGCTGATTTAATAGATATTTTATGTAAATAGAATACCCAAATCAGCAGGTCAAAAATACCGGTGAATTTATATAATGTGAATGGCAATGTCTATTTCATCTTAAGGCGATGCATTTCCACAAAGAAGCAGATGGTATATTTGGCTACAATGTCTATGAAGCTCAGCTAGCTGGTTGGATATTATGTCATCCAATTCAACTCAAATTGAGGAAATGTGTTTTTTGCTGCACAGACTATAATTTGAATCTCTATTGTTTCAAAAATTGTATAATATGTCTTTGTGCCAAATTTATTGTCATCAATATTCTCTATATATGCATATTTAATTCCTTATAATCAGGGCTTTTTTTGTCATAGAACGCCCAGAACGGAGTTCCGGCACCTTTTTTGGATGGAACCTTGTAGGGTAGGCAAGGCGGGTTGTATGACGTGTGTGAGTTCCGGCACCTTTTTTTTTTTTTTTTTTTACAAAAAAAGCACTGCTTATAATTATATACTTAATTCATTTTTAAAATATGTAGCTGGTTTTTTAGAAGGAACTATCTTGAGAGTCACTCTTTACATTGGCTTCAGCCAAATCCTTCAAGATTAAGAATTTTCTTTGTTTGTACATGGTATTACATTTAAATAATAAATTCTTAATCTTTAATGTTAACTAACAAATAGCACTAGAGGGCAGCCTTTTACAATTTTCAGGAATGCTAATGGAGCTACACTATTTCTCAATGTATGGCGTTTATATTTTGCAAAAAGTAACATGTAGATAGCAATTTTCATTTTTCTCCTTTCTTTTCTACATATCTGACAATTCCGTTCATAAAATAAATGATATGTAACAACGGAACCTGGCAGGCCAATAGAGATGAATAACTTTGTCCTGGCATACACACTCATACAGTATAGAAAAGAAGAAACATTTGTTCAACATCACTTCAAATAGGAAAAGCAATATCCTTGCTTATCACCATATCCAGTTACATAGAGGCTAATCCACAGGCGAGGAATGTTTCATCCAATCTAAAGGGCAGGTCCAACATCACATTTTGACACCAGCTGTGATGTTTGAAGAGATTCTACAGAACAATTCAACTTGAAAGTTTACACTAGAATAAATCATAGATGATCCTGGGAGAATGATAGTTTTTCCCCCAAGTGATATCTCATAATTAATATGTTCTCTGATGTATTAATAGAGATTGGCTTATAAACTAGCAGTTTTAAATGGCAAATGACTCAGAATTTAGCACATAGGTGGAAGATGAAAAAAGGTTATAAACAGGCAACCACTCCTTCGTGGTGCATAGCTTCCTTATTGTGTCCACCTAGGACTGCCAACTCCATTTGTTTCTGGAAAGTCCCTTCTGCAATAAAAGGATTCACATAACATCATACACACACACACACACACACACACACACACACACACACACTTATATGTACATGAATACAACTGACCACCAGTAGTCACTCCAAAATAAGGCTGGAAATGGAATGAAGAGAAATGGAAAGGAAATACAATAAAAGAGGAAAACAAAACTGAGAGATACAATATGTGGAAAAAGATAATTGTAAAGAAAAGAGAAGCAAGTCTGTTTAGGCATTACAAAAAGGGTTAAAATTCATCAGATGAGCTGCCCTTCCAAATCACAGTAGGTTTATTTTTTAAACGGTTAATTCAAAAGGTATCAGGTCTTCAGCAATACTTCTGGGAGCATAATGGCACACGAGATTAGGGCTGATGATCGGCAGGCTGGCATTTGAGACCTGGTTGTTGCCACAGGATGGGGTGAGGTCTTGTCACATGCTCCAGCTCCTACAGATCCAGTAGTTCAAAAGTGGGCAATCATGAGTAGATAAATGTGTACCATGTCGGTACCCAACTTAACAAGGATACGAAAGGAGCTCCCAACTGGGCCTCCCCCGGGCAACGGTGATGTCACCATTCAATCCTTTCAATCCGGAAGCGCTTCAGCACTCCTGACACAACTGCAGTAGTAGCTATGTTTGTAGCTATTTGAACCTGTATTTTCTACCATTCCACTCCCCAACTCATAGCTACTTATTTGAGAGAAAAACTTCTAGGACAGTGATGGCGAACCTTTTAGAGACCGAGTGCCCAAACTACAACAAAAAACCCACTTATTTATCGCCGGGTGCCAGGTGGGCGTAGCCCACTGGATGGGCATGGCTGTGGTGGTCATGGCAGATAGGGTGGGTGTGGCCAAGGTGGGCGTGATCACCTCAATGTTGCTCGTGGGGAGGGATGCCTGTGGGGCCCGGGCAGGGTTGGGGGAGATCCAGGGGATCTCTGGCAGGTGGGGCGGTGGGCAGGAGGCTAGTCCTGTGGGGTGAGGCGAGGCAAGGCGAGGCAGGGTGGGGGTGCCATTGTCACAGGGCAAGGTGAGGCAGGGGCCAGGGCGGCTGCTGCCTGACACCATCGGCCCCTGCACACAGAGGCCAGCGAGCACATGGGTGCTGGGATGCATCCAATCACGTGCGACCTCAGTGAGTTAGCGGGCGGCTGGTTGAAGAGGGACGATTGCCATCTCCAGGACATGGCGCGTGTGCCCACAGAGAGGGCTCTGAGTGCCGCCTCTGGCACGCGTGCCATAGGTTCACCACCACTGTTCTAGGATAAGGAAGCTGGTAAGTCCTGAGTAATTTGAAATCACATCACTGAATTGGTATTTAATTAGAGCTGATGACTGATACATGAATTCCTCACCTGCAAAACTGAAGGTTGGCAGCCGATGTACATGCTCTGAGAATGCTTCTAGACACAGCTTTTAAAGTACATGTAGTATTGCCTCTTAACATCTTTCCTTTCTATTAAAATACTAGCTTGAGAAGAGAAACAGTGACTTCCCCATCCCAGATGCTCTTACCACATAATAAAAAGACTACTACATACACCTTTTAATTAATCATAGTAGAAGCCGCTTATCAGGAAGGACACATGGAATATTTCAGATTAATAACGCTACACCCAAATATGTGAGCAAATTAAAATAGTAACTATGCCCCATTTAATTTTTTGTGATGGCCTATGAGTAAAGCATGGAGGAATAGATGTGATTGCAGGAGAGGAGAAGGAACTGCTGAAACCTGAGCATTTCATACTGGAAAATATTTGAAAATCACTCACAAACTTTTTGTTCCCTAAAAATTGCTCTCCCAAGAGAAAAAGACATAGAAATATGTTATGGGCCAATGTAGCAGTCTTCCATCAATGAATATTAAACAAATGCTGTTTAATCAATATTGAGTCCATAATGAGCTACTTGATGTGGACCATAGCTCTTTCCAGCACTGATCACTGGCCATGTTGGAGTTGATGATATATACCAACAATGTACATGGGAATCCACAGGTTCCTATTCTTGTTTAACTGGAAAGGAATGAATGAACAATTTGTTATCTTCATACATTTTTTTTTTGCTGTGTTGGAAGCACTGAGGTGCTTCCATAGTGAAAGGATCAGTGACATCACTGTTGCCCAGGGGACTCCCAGTTGGGGACTCCTTTCATGTCTTCATTAATGAGTCCACCATTATCTACTCATGTTTGCACGCTTTTGAACTGTCAGGTCGGCAGGAGTTGCAGCTTCATTCATGATTCACACCTATGTGAATCTGAGCATTTACCCCTTATAAACCTCAAAGCTCTTATGGTTTCCTCTAAAACCACAACCCTCCCACACCTTGCCACCTGTGACCAAGGCATCCATAGTTTTGCATGTGGTGCTCAAGGACTATAGATGTTCTTCCTGTCACCCAAGCACTTACACTCCAGCTTATCCTCAGCCCGTCCCCTTTCCAGCAGTGACAGGTAGCAGACAATGTCCTTCAGGTAGACTACCTGAGCCAAAGGGGCTGGTGGGTGTGAACTGGCTGTTTTCAGGGAGATGTTACTCTTTCGGAGGTTGAATGGAAGTTTCTTGTCCAAACTTTTGGAACCTAAAGGGAAGAGAAAAGGGTTCATGTTGCTTTAGAATAACTGTTTCCAAGCTGCCATTTTAGCTTATAATTCAAAATAGGTACAGGGTGACCGTTAGGTTATATTGATCTAGGGCTACAGTATAATGTGGCTCTTAGATCAAAAGTAACTTTTGTGAGCCAAAGGGCTGCAACAGATTTTGCATGGCAAATCAAGAATTAAGGTTGTGGGTGAAGTTGTAGTTCTCGTTGTAAATTTTTCTTTGGTATGTTTTTTATTATGCAATTGCATAGCAGTAACAGTGTTTTTTTAAAAAATCCAAACCTAAAACTCCAGTGAATAAGAAAATATGGTAGCACAATGGGGAAGTTAGGCTGAGAAGAACTGTAAGGAAAGGCAGGGAGGCAGGGAAAAGAATGAGGAAAACAGGTTAGGAAGAAGGATGTTTGCATGGAAATATGTTTGTCTATGTGTGTGTGGGGGGGAGGAAATTATTCTGTTGTATGAATTAACATTTTGTTAAGTAGGCAATTTTGTGGACTAGAGCTGATTAATATATTTATTAGATTGTATCTTGAATCTGAAAAGGAAGATATGACTTGGAAGAAATAACTAAAGTGTGGGTGAAGAAATCAGTTCACCAATACATTCTAAACTACGTAGAATGTTTGCAATCTTTTGCAAACCTGGCACAAACTAGTACGCTGGAAACATTGGGTCACCCAGTGACTTCCCCATCCCAGCTGCTCTTACCACATAATAAAAAAAATTGAATAACAACAACTCGGAAGAAAGCAGCTCTTACTCCACCCTTACCAATCACGCAAACGTCAAAAAACATCAAAAACTGCTGAATTCAGAATGCTTGGAATAAAAATACAGATTCCTAGCTGAGCTCAAACATTAGATAACACCATTCCAATAAAATTACAGGTAGTCCGTGACTTGCAACATTTGTTTAGCAATTTTTCAAAGTTATAACAGCACTGAAAAAAGTGACTTATGACTGGTCCTCACATTTATGGCCACTGTGGCATTCCCGTGGTCATGTGATGAAAATTTGGGCATTGGGTAACCAGCATGCATTTATAACGGTTGCAGTCTCCTGGGGTCATATGATTGCCATTTGTAGCCTTTCCAGCCAGCTTCTGACAAGCAAAGTCAATGGGGGAAGACAGATTCACTTAATGACTGCATGATTCATTTAACAACTGTAGTGATTTACTTAACAATCATGGCAAAAAAAGTCATAAAATCAGCTGCCTTGCTTAGCAATGGAAATTCTGGAAATTCCAGAATGTGGTTGTAAATTGAGGACTATCTGTAGTGGGTGAAGATTCCTTCAAACTGATTGATCCATATAGCAGATAAATGCACCTGGGCTGTTGAATCAGGGAGCCCACTGGAAGTAATTTATTGGTCAATGCTGCAAATTTGCTTTTGAAATCATTTTCTCAGTCTAATGTAGATATTTCTGCTTCTTAAACCCTCAGAGAGGCCAAAAGTGCATTACCTCAGCTCACCCTTCCACTTCAGGTACCGGATGTGTATCCCATGCTAGGATTTTGACCTCTGAAATGAATTTCATAGCTATATGTGAGTGAGGCTGGAAAATATATAAAGATGCCTCCATAAAAGAAAGGCAGATCTCACCTGGAGATTGTGGAGTAAGCAGTGAACCTGAGGAAATCTTGGAGGACCCTGAGGAGTTGTGAGCAGAAGGGTTACCAGCAGTGGATTTTTGTGATGATGATCTGGACCAGCTAGGTGAGGCATTCCCAAGGACATTGATGTTGGATGGTGGAATAGGACTGAGAGATGCTGATTGTGGTTCTGCTAGATTTGTCTGGGGACATTTGGATTCAGGGGTATGCCTTCCCATGGCACTTAGAAGAGTTTTCCCATTGATCCCTGTAATTTTAAAAAAAGCGATAAATCATCCTTGATTTATGAATCATGAAATGAATCATAATGAAAAATGATGTTTTATATTAATTTTCTCAATATGGAGGCCTCCTTTCCATGTTAGACTATTATTTCCAAACCTATCATCTCAGCCAGCATGGCCCACAACACTACCTTTGTGCTGCCCTTCTTGATGGTTGTATACATTCCCTTGGTCCTCATATACAATTGGACCTTATTTTATGCAAGAGATTTTTTGCAGAGACAGGATTTTCTTGTAAATTCTGAGATGTGAATAACTTAAGACACCAGTACTATATAGTATGTGATCCCTGGAACTCTGTTTTGCATTTTATAGGGTTGCTGTTTCTTTTTCCAGTTTTCATGGTGGAAGCATGAAAACAATAATATATACTTTAAAATAGATTTTACATAGTTCATAAGACAAATAAAACTCTACACTCCCCCAATAATAAATCATGACCGTCTGTGGTTAAGGAATCAGCCTGGAAAACCAGGAGACTGTGAGTTCTAGTCCTGTCTTAGGCATGAGAGCCACTGGGTAACCTTGGGCCAGTCACTCTCTCTCAGCTCCTCATCTCACACGGTTGTTATTGAGGGAAAAAAAGGAGGAGAAAAGTGTGTTGGCTATGCCTGCTGCGTATAAAGTTATTTGTAAAAATAATAATGGCAGGATATAAATAAAATAATTAAAAAGGTTGGGCAGTACTAGTCATCTAAGAGAAGCCTGACAGTAATAAAGTGACAAAAATATTTCTTAATCCTGATATGCTTAATGTATTTATTTAATACTTCACATAGACATGAAAAACCCTTCACGGATGTTGAAATGATAATAAATTATTCATTTTGTCAGAGGAAGTTGAAAACACAAAGCTGATGATCTTTTATTTGTTTTTCTGAGGAATTTACTTATAATTTTCTGATGAATTTACTAATTTATTCTTCTTATGAACTTGTAATTTTCATGGTGAACTTGCCATTTTCTGTACTGCAGTTGCATCAGCTCTTTTTGGTAATAATTCTGACAGCCTTTCCTACCTACCATATTGCCCACCAGATTCTCCTACCATTTCCCACCAGCGTGTCCATTTCAATCTAGAAATTTAGTAGAGAAGTAAATGGCACATAAGTATATTGCTATAAGAAGGTTGTATGGAAACTGCTCAATTTCATCTTCATAAAAACTCATATTACTAACATTGATTCAGTCCAGATCGCAAATTAGATTACATATATATTTAAAAATACTAATATCTTGGTTCCTATATGTTTCATCTGATTATCTCATGCATCTAACTAGAATGGTAGAGAATACCACAAAATCAGAACACAGCATCGAAAAAAAGGACATCTCCACATAGCAACTGTTTCCTGGCAAGGGATAAGGATTAGAAAAGCCAGACCTCTCTGAAATAATGGGAGATCTCTTGGCACCCAAGGATTGTTTGCTTAACATGTTTACTTAGCTGCTGTTGTATGTTTCTGTGCAGGATTCCAGAGCCTGGGTAGTCCCTAGCTTTGTATTTGTTTTTACAGCATAAAGTGACAACAAAGTGTTGGAACTAATGTTGAATAGAACTCAGCTTGTTGGTGCCCATAAAGTTCCTTATTAAACATGAAATATTGTGCAGCTCTTAAAGCATTTATATTGGATACCTGTAACAGGAGCACAAGCAACTTCTGTCTGGATGGATATACCTGTATCAAGAGTCTTGGATTCTGAATACATAAAAGAAACATAAGAACGTAGACATACTTTAACAATGGGCAGTTGCCATCAACTGATCAGTATTCATTGCAAATTTACAATAGCAATTGCACGTTCTACTTTTATTCCACAAGAGGCTCATAAATATTTAGTCAGAATATAGAACTGCAAGTATTTACTGTTTTGCTTTAGCCTTACAAACACTGCTGCAGAAACAATTTCAGCCCAATCAACTGTGGGGAAGCATAGCTCAGCGCATTATGAAGCAAAGCAGGACACTGCTGCTTGCTCCTAAGCTGGGCACGGCAGCGGACTATGTGGAGAGACAAGTACCTTTAAAAGGAAGTGCCGCAACCAGGATTGTGCCTGGCTTGGCCCCATCATGGGAATAGCAGTAGGAGCATTTGGAAAGGGGAAGACTGGGATGGGTGCGTGATATTGCAAAGGAGTTCACAGGTGGCAACTACTCTTCTCCATAACTCCTGGTAGAGGTGGAGACTCTACATGTAGAGGGACATGGGGTGGAAAAAAAATGAATAGATGGCTGTTTTTTCTGTTACTGTTTTGATTCCCTTTCCCTCTTCCTGTCAATCTCAGCTTGGTTCAGAGTTTCCTCAAAATTTGTTTTTTTCCCTACTCAGAAATTAACTTGCCATTTGCTGAGGTGTAGTAAAAGAAATGCTGAGGTGGCCATTTTAAGAACAACATCAACACGGCTGTGCAGTTGAGCCACAATGATTGTTTAAAAGAATTTAAGAGCAGTCACTGGTGGTTATTTGCATTCAGGCTCCAGTGTGCAAGAAAAGAGGTTTCATCCTTCTCCTCCCCCTTCAGTAGGCCAGCAAAGCCCTCCTTCCCAACAGACAATATTAACCGCACAGGAAAAGGTTATCTCCTTTTGTGCTGACACCAACTACCTTCCATACTCCATTTATGTTGCTATTTTGAAAACTGATCTAGTTGATAAAAAGCATTATTTAGAGAAACAGGTGGAATGAATGAATACCCCCCACACCCCTTCTCTTTTATATGAGCACTAAAAAGGAGTTAATTAAAACAAAATCAAAGATATGTGGCTCAAGCCCCTGCATCTGAACCTAATATGATTATTGAATTATGTGTTCAGTTCACAATTCAAATCACGTTAATTTAACTTACCATTACACCGCTACACAAAAGACAGTCCATGAATGCTGAATGTGGATGGTATCTATGAAAAGATTTTTGTGATGAAAAAGAAATCGGGGGAGAAACACAGCCCAGTGAGGATTAAGGGCCGTAGAATGTCCATTTCATAAATGAAACAGCAAATTCAAAGAAAGTAAATAGAACAGAATATCCTAGAAAGGGCATAACGGAACTCTAAGCAGAAGATACTATACAGGGCATCGTTTAGTGGCTGAGCCCATTCATTCAAAATATTCCAGTGTCAGCCATTTCCACACTTGTGAGAACTGAAGCAGCAAAGAAAGCATAGGGCTTACCAAGGTTGCTCAGCTGTGAAATACTGGAACTTTGCTGCTGGTTCTCGAGAGAACATTGGCCAACTTTTCTTTTGAAGGACATGAAGAGGTGCTCACAGAGCTCTTCTGGAATATCCACCTCCAGATATGTTCTCATAAAGAGCTGGAACCCCTCATAGTCAATAGGCTAACAGGAAGAGGGAAGTAAAAGACACAAGTGTTTTTTTTAATGAATTTTTAAACACTAGAAATCTTACCAATTACATTTCCTCCCCATTTTAAATTGAGGTTCTCAATTGAGGAGCTTGACGAAGGAAGAAGGAAAAAAAAATCAAGGAAGAAACAAATAAATACAACTGTTAAGGTATTGGTTTCTACATAGTGAAAATAGATCAAGAACATTGTCATTAGACATTGTAGGTGGATCAATAAGTTGTTGGGAAAGGTATCTGGAATAAAGCATGGAATTATATTTGATCAATGCAATTTTTAATCTCCTGGATTTGGGGGTTAACTTGGACAAAAGTTCTCCTTGTTATTTGAAAAGCCATGTAGACACTATTGCCTTATGAATACGTTGGCATTTAAAATATGAAATGTGTATGTGTATGTGTGTGTGTGTGTGTGCGTGCGTGTGTGTGTGTATTGGAGACCAGTTGGTGGTGTACTTTGAGCACTGAGCTTCATGGGTCTGAAGAAAGGTTTGTTAGAAAGAAAGAAAAATGCATTTAAATTTTAAGAAAATAACTTTATGCACAGAACAGATATTCACTGAAGCCTATCTGGTGTTTTTTGAAGAAAGCCCATGGATCATGAACACATTCATCTACAGGTATTCATTACAGCTGCAGTTTACCTGTATACCGATACGTAATCTCTTTCCTATGCACTATAATGCATGTAATTAGCATTATATTTCAGAAATACAAAGTATGCCTAAGTATGCCACAAGGAAGCACAGTAATATATTTCTTGCATGCATATTGAAATCAGGGTTACATGCATATATGCAGAACAACAGTTGCAGCGGTGAAGGCAGAACCTCAATAAGCAACACAACTAAAGTTCTTTGAGCATCACCACAAAAGGCAAAGCATTTAGCACAAGCTTTTGGAAGTAATCTTGACAAATGTATTGAAATCTTCCTAGTGACATTGGTAGAATGGACTTGGCTGAAGAAGTATGCGCGCGCGCACACACACTTCAGATTTACCCAGTTCTGTTCATTGTCCTGCTTACCATCTGGCAAACAAGGACACCTTGCCTACATTTAATTGCTGGGACTCTTGAGAGCTTTCTACTATGCTGAACTCTGAGGTAGCTGATGGAAGACGGACAGTGGTTAACAGGAAGCTCACAATTTCCATAGTGACTTTATAATAAAAGTTGCTTAAAAACAAGTGGGGCAGCCATAAGTGAGGAAGCAGAAGAGATCAAAGGTAACAACAGAGCTGCCAAAAACTTGCTCTTGCCAGCTCTTAGTTTTGCATTCTGTAAATTGTTAGCTGTAATTCATAATTCTGTAGCAAACCCAGTGCTTTTTTTCTAAAAAAAAAAAAAAAAAAAAAAAAAAAAAGGTGCCGGAACTCACATACATCATACAACCCGCCTTGCCTACCCTACAAGGTTCCATCCAAAAAAGGTGCCGGAATTCCGTTCTGGGCGTTCTATGAGAAAAAAAGCCCTGAGCAAACCTATTATATTCCCTGCAACATTTAACCAAAGTGATTAACAACAGTTAACAAGCATTGCTGTCACTACTCTATTCAGTTGCCCCAATAACTGGACTAATATGCTATATGCTGTGATATCATATAACACTGCAAAAAATTCCACTGACTCTTTATCTTTCTTATCAATTAACTTGTTCCCGAAAAGTTTTCTGATAAAACAACACAAAATTCTTTTTTATTATTTGTGGCTTGGGTGAATAGAGAACAAGTCAGGCCCAATGCCCTGGTACACAGAATTCAGCTTGGAGCATCTTTACCAGCCATGATTTTTCCCCTTGACAATATATTCCATTCTCTTTCAAATAGACATTTTTCTTATTTTTCTTTCTGCAGTATTCTCCCTAACGATTTATTGCTCTCCAGGATAAGCAATTTTGTTTAGTTTTTTTTGGTTTAATAATGTGCAGATTTAAATTTCTTATCATAAATATAAGCTTAGATAATTTGAGGGAAATCTTAGTTTATGCCAAAGCAACCATACAAAGCAACAAATAGCACATCACATCAGAGCCTGAGCTGGAAAACAAGTCTTACTTGGTTCAAAGTGTCTTGCTTCTGAGGGAATAAAGAGCAGAGAAAGACAAAGCAAAGTTGAGTGACGAAGCATTGAACAAGTAGCTATTCCATTGGACAAAGATAATTCAAGTTTCCAGGAAGGATTAGACTGCAGTTCTTCCCCAACTTTATCACCAAAGAAGGCGCTTGGGAAAATACATTGTTCTAAGTATCCCTATTTCAAACTTCACCATCAGATGAAAAGACATGTTCTAGGCAGATGATTTTGGATGAGATCTCTGGCTTGGGAAGTTTGCAAATAGCTGATAGGTAGCAAAAAAGTTCTGTAAGGAACAGCTTTCTGTTCAAAGGATTTAAAGAGATATGTTTGTGTGTGTGTGTGTGTGTGTGTGTGTGTGTGTGTGTGTGTGTGTGTCTGTCTGTCTGTCTGTCTGTCTGTCTCTGTGTTCTGTTTGTATCTAGGACTTCTACCAAAGAACTTTGAACAGAATATAGATTATCTCTGTTTATTCTCATTAACAACTATCTGAGTTTAATTAGGGTTAATAAGAAAGTGTGAAGGGGGAGTTTAGAATCTTAACTGGAATTTATACGGTGGAAGGCAGGTTGTATGTCCCTCATGGACTTTGCCATTGTTCCCCACCCCTCATTATTTCCCATCAAAGGCATATTTCATACTCTGCCTATTATAGAACTGGATCTGCAACAAACAGCAAAATTTTTCATGAGGTTATTCATAAAGAAGTCCAGTGGGGCTTGGTCTAACTCCTACATTGCCCAGCATATAACACTAACATATTGTTAAGCATATATTGGGACCTGTGTCACTGGTTGATCTACCTCCAGTTTCAACATATGCCAGAACACCTTTGCTTTAAGTAATTAAGTGCAACAAGGAATAATTTAAGCAATATTTCACTAAGTTACATTGAAAACTATTTTTATCAAAATGAAGCAATTTCTCTATCAGATATACTGATTACAACAACTTATTCTTGGATCTAGTGATTTCTTCAGAACAGACAATATCAACTGATGCAAATTTAGTTTACTGTTTTTATTACCACACGATGTTTTTAAAATTAAATATTTGATATATTTCAAATTGATGTGTGATTTTTCTGATAAGGACTTTTAATAATAATAATAATGATGATAAAGTTGGAAGGGACCTTGGAGGTCATTTAGTCCAACCCCCTGCTCAGGCAGGAAACCCTATACCATTTCGGACAAATGGCTGTCCAGTCTCTTCTTAAAAACTTCCAGTGTTGGAGCATTCACCGCTTCTGGAGGCAGGTTGTTCCACTGGTTAATTGTTCTCACTGTCAGGAAGTTTCTCCTTAGTTCTAGGTTGCTTCTCTCTTTGGTTAGTTTCCACCCGTTGNACACTGCTATCATGTCCCCCCTCGTCCTTCTCTTCGTTAAACTAGACATACCCAATTCCAGCAACCGTTCCTTATATGTTTTAACCTCCAGTCCCCTAATCATCTTTGTTGCTCTTCTCTGTACTCTTTCTAGAGTCTCAACATCTTTTTTACATCGTGGTGACCAAAACTGGATGCAGTATTCCAAGTGTGGCCTTACTAAGGCATTGTAAAGTGGTATTAATACTTCACATGATCTTGATTCTATCCCTCTGTTAATGCAGCCTAGCACTGTGTTGGCTTTTTTGGCAGCTGCAGCACACTGCTGGCTCATATTTAAATGATTGTCCACTAGGACTCCAAGATCCCTCTCACAGTTACTACTATTGAGCAAGGTACCCCCTATACTATACCTGTACATTTGGTTTTTCTTGCCTTTTAAGACATTCCTTTTTGGATCTGCATAACTGATTAAGGCCTCCAACAGAAAAATAGTAGAAAAATGTGTATTATAACTGTTCCTTCTCCTTCACTTCTCTGAGTTCAATTTAATCTAAAACAGTTACAGAGTTCAGATATTGCTGAATGAAACTTACTGAACAGTTGTAGTTTACATGATTTTCATGTAAACTTTTTTGGGACTTGTATTTACCATCATGATCTAAAAGCAGGTTGGAAAAGGTAGCTAAGAATACCTTTATTTTGACTGGGACTTGCATATGATTTTTGTTATTTATTGGTTTGACTATTCTGTATTTATTGTTGTATGACTTGGTATCAGATAAATATTTTAGATATTAATTGCCTTTTAACAGTGTTTTTTTAACATCTTAATTATATAGTTTAGAAAAGACAATACAGTTGGCTTCATGGAAAGTAGAGATATGTTTATTTGGGTAGTTGGTGTTGTGAATTTATATAAGTTTTATTTACAGTATATCAGTTTGGCCTAGTGGATAGGGCACCGGGGTAGAAGCTGGGAGACTGAGTTCTACTCCTGCCTTAGGCATGAAATCTGGCTGGGTGACTTTGGGCCAGTCACCTTCTCTCAACTCACCTCACCTCACCTCACCGAGTTATTGTTGTGGGGAAAATAGGAGGAGAAGGAATATTTATGTATATTTGTTGCCTTGAATTGTTTATAAAAATAATAAAGGTGGGATTAAAAAAAATAAATCAATAAATCATTTTGTTCTGCAAGTTACTTTCCTCAAACTGGCTCAAAATCAAAAGTGCCAGATTTGTATTGAGTTAGGTAAGCGTTTGAAAATTCAGCAAGAAAAAGCACCAAAAGTACAAATAAGTATCAATATACTTGGTATATGTGGAAACACCTAAAAACAACTACAATCTAACAAAACACTAACACTGGTCTTGTGCAGTTAAAACTAAAAGGCAGTTGAAAGTAGAACAATAGATTGTATCTAAAACTGAGATGACTGTTCAAAAAAAGTTAAAAGGATTTTGCAATTTGGTTCAGGACTGTATGTGTAATCTCAGAGGAAAAAGATAATATTGGTTATATCCATACTGCCTCATTTTGCACTCAAAACGTTTACAGTCATTTCTACAATGTGATTATTGTGACAGGTAATCTGCTATCTGAAACAATGTTTTAACTTGCCTGTCAACAATGATGACTATTCCCTCAAAAAACTATCTTGTTTTGGCTTTCATTAAATGAAAAAGGAAACTGGGCTGAAGCAGTATAATTCTGGGCAGTGGATTATTCCTCCCTCTTTCACTGTAAAGCTATTACTAAGGGGTAATGATGGGAGGATAATTAAACAAATAAAAAGTATATGTTACAAAAGATCTCCATGAAAATATCTCCATATATTCCTTTTTGGTCCATTTCCTCCACATCCTCTCCTGAAAAGCAAATCCATCTTCAAAGGATTTTAAAGGCAATTAGTTGTTATACCTATTGGCAAATGCAACAATTTTTCCAAGTGGATAATAATGAAGTATACTTACCTCAACTGCTTAATGCAGAAGAGAAACCACAGCATGTGCTCTTGGCAGAAAGCAGAATGCCCCACTTCTAGCCACCATAAACAAACATTATCTTGCTCATTTCCAAGAACCTAACAACTACTTTTCTAAATATGAATGTGGTTGCAATTTGTGCTGGTTTTTTGTGGACTTGTCTTTCTAATTACTCTAGGTGTCAAAAATTTCCTCACAAATATATCAAATATAAGGGGGGAGGGGAGACTAAACCTAGACATATCTTTGATATAAACTGATGATACAATACTCAAATTTAATATTTATTCATTAAGCTGTAATTCACTTCTATATGTCTTTAGAAAACAGTGGGAATAACTTTTAAAATATTGTAAATGACATGCATTTTGAAAAGATGATTTTATGAAATACTCTTATAATGAATAGGCTTCTCCACCGTGAATATTTAAAAGTCAGTAATGATTTTTAAAAATTAAATGTGCCTTTAAAAATCAGCTTACAATAAGGCAGCTACTTGTTTTCCAATTTCCAAGTAGAGCAGTTAAAACTCCATTGTATCATCCAATATCCTGTTTTCCTGAAAGTAAGGCTTACCCTGAAAATAAGCCCTACCCCCAAAATAAGCCCTAGTTTTGGGGTGAGGCACACACCTAAAAATCAAGCTAGGGTGGGGTGGGGGGTGGGGATCTGCCCCACGCACCCTGCACCCACTTACCTTGCAGCCAGGCCTCTCCTCGCCGACCCACTTCTTCTGCAGCATCTTCTGCAGCCAGGCCTGCATTTTGCAATCAGAGGCCTTTCCAAGAAAGCCACTGCAGCCGAGAATCGAGCTATGGATTCAATCCATAGCTCGGTTCTGCAAGAGATCTGCAGCTGAGGACTGAGCTATGGATTGAATCCATAACTTGGTACTCGTCTGCAGAAGCCTTCCAAAAAGGCTTGATTGCAAAATGCAGGCTGGAATGCAGCTGCAGCATGAAGTTGCTTCTTCATCCCAAGAAGAAATGGACCGGCTGGATGGGGCTGTCGGTACTGGAGAGGAGTAAGACATCCCTCAAAAGTAAGCCCTTGTGCCTCTTTTGCAGGCAAAAAAAAAGAAAAAAAGAACCTGGTCTTATTTTCGGGGAAACACGGGTAGCAGAATGTTAGGATTTGTTTCTCACTAAATCCAGTAGAGCTAATTTATAAGCAGAGATGGACTGCAGATCTTTAGAAATCCTTATTTATTTATTACTAGGATTTTTATGCTGCTCTACTCTCATGGCCTCTGAGTAGCTTACGTTCCCCCTCCACATAAAAAGATTAAAACAAATCAATATTATATTCAACATTTTACTATGATTAGAACAGCCCTACAAGCAGATGAACTGCACCAATATAGGAACCAGAAAATGAGGATCTTGCAACTTATTACAAATCTTTCTTGAAAGTTCTCTAGAATAAACAGTTTTATAGTTTCTGGAAAATCAACAGGGTGGATACCAGCCTGATCTTGGCTTTTGATTTTCATTAATATTTTGAGAGAATGTTTATACAAAAATGAATTACCTTTCCCTCTCTCACTCCCCTAGACATGATGCAAAATGTTATCTTTCCTTAGCAAATAACTTGTAATTAAAAAGAACTTAAGGCAGGCACTGGTGGTGTTTGCACTCAGGCTCCCTGTGTAGGAAGAGGAGGTTTCATCTTTCCCTTTCAGCAATTTAAAAAATATCACTTCACATCTCACAAGAAAAACTTTCCCCTTTTTATGGTGCTAATAAAAATCACTTTATCTCCTCACAACTCTTTTAAAAACTGATGTGACAGATAAAAAGGCTTATTTAGGGAAACATTTAGTTTGGTTGGTTTAGGGCAGGGCTTTTCAACCTTTTCACCCATTGTACCACTTTTAGGATACGGCAATATCCGAGTACCACCAGTCGCCTAGCAAGGTGTCAAAAACTTGATGACCAAAAAAAAAAAAAAAAAAAGGAAAAAAGTGATGAAGTACAGGTAGTCCTCGAGTTACAACAGTTCGCTTAGTGACTGTTCGAACTTACAATGGCACTGAAAAAAGTGCCCCCCAAGCCACAGCCGAGCAAGACACCTGCCTGCCCACTTGGCGGCGCTTTTCCTCCTGTCCGAGGTTTCCATTGTTGTGAGCATTTCTGTTGAGGATTGGCAGCGGGGGTGGGGTGGGTATGTGTAGTTTTTATTCCCCCCATCTGATGGGTGGTTGCAGCAGGTTTTGGTCACTTCACATGACCCTGGGACACTGTGACCGTCATAAATATGAATCAGTTGCCACGCATCTGAATGTAAATCACAAGACCCTGGAGATAAGGCAACATTCTAGCTGATTGATGCTTCTTCAGGGCTCAGCAGAAGCGCCAGGATCAACACCGAGCTCCAGCTGGAGCCTGGCACTGATCCTGGTGCTTCCACTGAGCCCTGACAGTCCCGAAGAAGCGCCAATCAGCTGGAAAGCGGCACTGATCCTGGCACTTCCGCTGAGCCCTGACAACCCTGCAGCTCCAGCCATCTCTCGCTCAGGCTTGTGCGGTGCTGCCACTGGTTCAGCTTATTCCCCTCCCCCGCTACCACTTTTCTAGGATGGTCGCATAACACCTGTTAGGTGCCAATATACCACAGGTAGTACCCGTACCACTGGTTGAAAAGCCCTGGTTTAGGGTCTGAATAATTAAAAAAGCTTACATAAGATTCAATAACCATTTTATCCTAAAAATATGATTAAGATCCTTTGGGAATTTTGTACACAGAAATCTACATGCCAGTTGATTTTGTCAATAGGCATTTAAGAATACAGTTAACGCAAGTTTCCTTACTTGTTCTGGATTATATTTTGACAGAATACCGTCCCCATGGAACTCTTCCAAAACATCTCTCAATTTCTTGGTAGAATCTAGAAAGTGAAACACAGGCCAGTATGATTAAGAGCAGCTTACTTCCAAACAAGTCCTTCATAATCGGTTAAGAAATGATTGTACAGAATAATAGCAACACCTTGAATCAAAATAGTAAAAACTATATATGTTTCCTTGATAAGAATATTTGGTTTCTTTTAAATGTCTTAAATTGCATTAATAAATGTGAGATCTACTTTTCTAATCCCAGAGCTATCTTGTAAGAAATACATACATCACATTGCAAATTCAAATGTTGGACCATGTTATTGTGTGCAGAAGAAAAAAAAACTGCTTTCCTTATGTGATTTCTATGCCAGCCTTACAGCTATTAAAATCTAGTAGTTAGAACCATTATTATTATTATTTTTTGCAGAAAGCATTTCCAATTTTTCTGAGGGAAGGACTATCTTCCATGCAAGCCACATAATGATTCCTATGGATATTATCAGCTTGATAAAACATTAGAATAAAAGTAAAGAAAGACAAGTTCTAGCCATTGAATGCTGACTAGATAATCTTCATATTTCAGCCTACTGATAGAATTGCTGTGAAGATAGGTTTGAAAGCACCATTTTTCCTTCCTCTGTCTGACATAAAATGCTGTTAAGAAACTCCATCTCTGCATGGGATATTTAGAATGATTGAAAGTATTATAAAGGCAGACAAGCAGAGGGGACTATATAGTATTAAATACATAACATAGGGAGACAGCACCTCTGCTGAGTGAGTGATCTTCAGGATGCACTATGTCAGATCATGTTCTTCATATCTATAGGAGATGTAGGAAGAAGATTCTGGCCTAAATCCAAGATATTATGCAGATTGAGGCAAAACTGCAAATGGGGCTTTTTATCAACCCCCGTCATTTATTTTATTTATTTATTAAATTTGTTTGCCACCCATCTTGCTGCAAGAGGGTGCTATTTAAGCTAGTCAGGTTAGTGCATGAGGTGGAAAAATTGGGTTGTAAGCTGCCCAGAGTTTGATTTTATGATGGGTGACTATGCATATGTTTTAAATAAATAAATAAATAATAAACACAAGCACCTCATTTTGCGGTCCTTTAACAATTTTGTTGCCTGAGAAACTACTTTACCTAATGATTCAGCTCTCCTTGGCTGCTGATATCCTGAAGCCAGCAATGCCTCGGAGCTAACATTAATAGCATCTTGAGTCATTTAATTTAATATAAGGAGAAAATTATCAAAAGACCTAAAATAGTTATTTATGTATATTTCAGAAATTATAATCTGCCTCAGTTCCAAAGGACTCTGGTAGTATGCGGTAAAAAGAAAAACAAACAAGATCAATACAACACAGGCATATAATCCCTAGCAGAAGCCAAGATAGATGTCCTCAATCAATCAGCTGAACTTGCTAAATAAGACAAGTTTAATTAATTTTTGGAACATAGGCAAAGTAGGGGCCATATGTACCTAACAGCAAAGAGTATTCCAGAATGTGGGGGCAACCACAGAGAAAAACAGTCATTTTATCCATTCCACATATACTTTGCAATGGAGGGAAGACTTTCAGTGGCCTTCTCTAAATGTTTGGACTGATCTGTTTTAAAATAAGTTCATTCTTTTTCAGGAAAGGATACTTGATTATTTAAGAAAGATGGCTTTCCATACTTTATACTGAAGCTGTAAACAAATCTGAAACATCTTAACATACGATTTGGATGTGAGCTTTTGATAGCTCATTTTAGCCATCATTTATTTATATTTTTATTAATATAGAATTTGTGCATTTATAAGCAATTTGGATATATTAAACTTTAGGTGTTGCAAATATACTTCTCGGGAAAAAGAAAACCCTAAAAAAACATGTTTACTTTCAACCCTGATCTGGCCCTTGACTGATGAATGGACTAATATAATTCTGTCTTATCAAGGTTTAATCAGTGGCTTTATAATGTCATAATGCTTTATAAAAAGGAGAAAGAGGAAGACAATATTTTTCTTTTTTTCTCAGATATATATCAATGTATTTTCCCCCTTTAATGTGATTTTTACTTATAGTAAATAAAACAATAAAAAATATGATTTGATAATGGCACAGTTGTAGAAAAAATGCACAGCATGTTATTTTGGAATCTATTTCCTTACCTCTAGTGCTATTACTACTGAAAAATAAGTCTCAGAACAGATGTAAAAGAGGCAGAATGGAGACAACTTTTTTTTTTGGTGGCAAAAAAGACAAAATGTTTAAGTATCACATCTCTTCCACATGTTAGGTCTCAGATGTTAATGATTATATTCTACTCCTTTCAATTTTTTAATACCTACTGTCATGCAAACTTTCTATCTGCAAGGATTATAGTCAGTGACAGTAAATTGGACTTCTTACATGGGCTAATTTACAAGCACAAGGTTTGTTTACTTTAGGCTTAGCATGATATATGAACCAACCTATTATAACATTATGAGTAAACTATGCCACTTTAAGTTGTAGAGCAAGCATGGTTTACGCATAGTATTATAATGGGTGTGTTTGTAGCTTGGTTTATGTCACAGAATTAATATAGCAGGGAATGATAGTATCTCTTTTTAACTCTACCATCAGCAATATTTAAGGAGAATTCTTCCATAAAGTGTCTTAATGAAAGTCATTGTTCTCTGTTTTTTAATCCTCCTTAGTGAGCTTTCAAAACTCCAGGAACTGAAATGTCCCAGCAGTCTCACAGTTCAACTGCTCTGGTTTAAGAAGTTGGTCCCAAAGGATAAAACAGATTGAAAAACCACAGGAAAATGATTAAAAGAAAGAGTCTGCTTTGAGATGTCTACAGAGGCTTCTATCTATAGGGATTGCTCAAGATCCCATCTCTTCAGGGATAATGAATTTTGTGATGTTTAGGCTAGAATCTCTGAAAGATTAAATTCATGGTGATAAGTCAGTGGGAACATTCTTTTCTGTACATTCTCAGCACTTAAACTTCACACCAATCATCCCAAATGGGAGTGTGGGATTCAGTTTCAGCTACATTGGCTGGAGGTCATGTAGTTGAAGTCCAATGAATCTGCAGAGCACAGTTGGGGAAGGTTATCTTATGTATTTTCATGTAAAATATGCCTTTGGAAAATACATATATAAAGCTGTAGAGTTGCCTTGGTCAGTTCCATAAACTATATACATGTAAATATTTTTAACAACTCTTTTTTCTTCTTCTTCCACACTGCCAATCTTTATGATAATCTTCTCTTAATCTGCTCTCTGAATGATGTTTCTTCTTCCATTTACATTGCTAACACTTTGTCCTTAAACACTAGCCAAGTGCAATTGATTTTCTTCCCTTAAATAAATACCAGCAGCCCAAATCCATGCTTTTTCTAAGGGAAAGATCCAGAATTTAAAGACTTTCTTACACAGCCAATGACATCACCATTTATAACTGAATAAGGAAGCTCTGTAAGTTACATCACTTTCTCCAGTCTGCCTTGACTCTGAGTAAGCCTAGGTAATCAAGGTCTCCCTTCCTCACTTTCCCCTGCCCTCCCCTCTGCTTTCCTCTCCTCACCTTCTTTGTGAAGTCTACTAGTGAAGATATGGCTACTTCCTAGACACCCTTGTCCCACCCAGTGAGAGCTGAAGATTTATAGAGTTGCTTAGAATAATATGCTGTAGTTTTGTAGGGGCATCTAAGCCACTAAATTCAACCACTTGCTCAGTACAGGAAACCACATTAAAGCCATCATGATAGTTGGCTTAGACACATCCTGTGAAGAAGAGCCTATCACCTTTCTGAATAATGAGTTTTGCTGACAAATTGAAAACTTGCTTTTATTGTTCAGAATTTTGAAACAATAATTAAATTAATTATTCTGAGTCCTGCATTCTGAGATGATGACAGGCTAGGTCTTTATATTGTTCAGTTGACAGTCTTTCAGGTATATAAAGACTGCTTCCTCTCAATCTTTTCTTCTCAAGGCTAAAGATTTTCTGTTCCTTCAGTCTGTCACTATAGAACACGGGTGTCAAACT